AGTTTACTTAATTTTAGTTTGCTATAGGGCATGTATGCTCAGTGCAGAGAGACAGAGAAGAAAATGAGAACTCATTCCCCAGGGGGAATCGCCACGCCACAATTCCTCCTCCTTCATTCACCTCTCGGGGCTTTTGGCACGCAAATCACATGCCTGCTGTGGTTTCCAAGCCATCAGGACCCCGTTACTCAGACCATGAAGTCAGGCGTGTGAGATCCAGCTGCCTTAACTTCCACACCACCTGATGGACCTAGATATATTTTTAAATAAATCTTGAGTTCTTTAGGAGAACTCACTTGAGAAATGTTCCGTGTGCTGTTACAGGATAACTAAGGTAAAGATTTTTGTCCAGCCAACTTCTCAAGGGTTAGAGAAGGACTTCACTCAAAATTACCTTAGCAATAGGAATAATGTAGGCTCAGCCATGATTTCATGTGCTGGCTGGCATTGCTCTCTGTCTGAGGCCACAAGGGAGGAAAGGGTTTCATTTTCAGTTCACCCTAAAAACTAGGCATGGGACATGACTGTTAGCCTCAGCTACTTGGGAGGCTGAGTCAGGAGGACTGCCAAACAGCAATTCCCCATCTTTAAGACAAAAATAGAAAAATGTACAGAAGAGAAAAACACTAGGACCAATTACTTAATGGCTATTCCTTCCAATAGAAAATACCAGTGTTTGGCTGTTATTATTAATATTTCATCCCTCAATGTCTGTAGCTCATAAGAACAATTTGTGCCTTTATCCCACCTTCACACTTCATTGGCAGCACGCCAGTGTGATACACGAGACTTCTATTTGGCCTGTTTGGCTCCCTGTAAGCTGTTAGAATCATCTCTGTCACTTGGTGTGGCAATGGGCCTTGATGCAAGTCCTTTTTCATTCATTCAATCCAGAAACTCATACCTTGCCATTCTAGGTAGGTTTTCCTTGTTACTTTGATATTTTGTTCCCCTCCGTAGCCGTTCTGTCTGGAAATGCTTTTTACTTAAGATATTGGACCTCTGGAGTTGAGCCTCTTAATTTTCTTATTTTTTCCTCCTATTTTTCACCACTTTGTTGTTTTGGGATATTTTCTCAACCTTTCATTTGCTCATTTATTTAATTTCTGTTGTATTTTGTTTCCAGGAGATCTTTTGTTTTTGGATACCTTTTCTCCATTACTTACTTAATTTGAAGAATTATTTATTTAATTTTATTTATTTTAATTTGTTATAGGCCAATAATAATTTGTTATTTTCAGTGTGCTCACCAGATAAAGGCAGAGAGAGAGAGAGAGAGAGAGAGAGAGAGAGAGAGAGAGAGAATGAGAAAGCAAGCCTCCAGGTTTAAGACTTGAACTGCGGTCAGCCATGTGGGAGTCCAGAGCCTTAACCAACCTGCTGTCCTCCTCTATTCTTTTTTTTTTTTAAGTTTAATTCTTCCATAAACTAGAGAGGCAGACAGAGACAGAGAAAGCACCCAAACAGGATCTCGGTGTCACCATCTACCTCCCCGAGCCTGCAGCCAGCTGGAATCAGGGGCACCCACGAATGTCTGGTGTACAGGGAGTCCACAGGGAGTCTCCCGGATAGGAATCTGGGACCTTCCAGGGAGTCTAGTGGCATTACCACTCCGCCACTGTCTGACCCTCCGTTCTTTTTTTTTATATATCACCTTATCTGAGTGTGTGTACTGAATATATATATATATATATATGTATATGTATGTATATGTATACACACACACACACACATTGTGTACATATATTAGGTCATTGGGAAAGTCATGAAAGTCAGTATTTTTCTGTTTTATGATGCAAAATATGTCATTACTTTCCTGACTATCTATCTATCTATCTATTTTTGATGTTATTATTTTTTTTTAATGGTGTTAGTTCTCTTTATGTAGACTCTGGTTCTAGAACAATTCACCTGCAGCCAGCCAGGGCCAGCACACTAACAGGACTTGGCAGGGGTGGGTTATTTACAGGTCTCTTATCTGGGTAGATTAATGTTCATCTGGGGGTCTTGTTTATAAAGTTTCTTTGTTTTCCTCAGTGTCTTATATATTCCTTTCCATGTGTCTTGCTCTGTCTTTTACATGCATATGGTGAGAACAGAGGCTTTGGAGGCTGGCCCTGTACAGATATGAAAGGAGATGCTTTAGAGTAATGGTTACATCGCTGGACTCCCACGAAGTCGACTATGCTGTGAGGCTCGGACCCGGCAGCTTAAGCTCATGCTGGGTGCATGCATGCTCAAAATCCCAAGGGGAGAATGGAGGAAAAGGGACTGTGGTGTGGCTACCACCCTTGGGGGTGATTTCTTGCTTTCTATCTCTCTGGCGAGTGCATGTGCCCTATAACAAATCTCCCCCCCACCCCACCCCCCAAAAAATAATAATATGGATTCTGGGGCCCAGCAGATGACTATGTGGCTGGACTCCCACATGGCCAACCATGGTTTGAATCCCAGACCCAGTGGTTTGAAATTCATGCCAGGCCCATATACATACAAGATCCTGGGAGGAGAATGGAGGAGAAGGGATTATAGCATGGCCATCCTCCTTGTGGGGGTGATTTCTCACTTTTTCTCTCGCTGTCTTTGTCTTTGACAAGTGCACATACCCTAAGGCAAAATCTTCTTAAAAACAAAACAAAACAGGGACCAGCAGTTAGTGTAATTGCTATGTTGCTGGACTCCCATGTGGTCAACTGCGGTTCAAGTCCCGGACCTGATGGCTTAAACTCATGCCAGGCACGTGTGCATGCATGCCCAAGATCCTGAGAGGAGAATGGAAGAGAAGGGATTGCAGCGTGGCCATCCCCCTTGAGGGGTGATTTCTCGCTTTCTATCTCTCTGTCTCTCTCTGTCTGTCTAGCAAGCACACGTGCCCTATAGCAAAAAATCTCTAAAAACAAAAACAAAAACAAACTAATGTGGATTCTGGGGCCAGCTGGTGGCATCATGGTTAAGGTGGTTAGATCTCATATGGCAGTCCTGTGGTCATAGATTCCAGAGTAAGAGCAGTGTAGTCCCCTAGATGGCAATATGTCTATGGGAGACACGGGGGGTGGGGGGCTTTACCACAGTAGTCCCACTTTAAAAAATTCAATGGATAAGATGAACACCTTCAAACATACTAGGAAGACCTATAGTCTTCTGTCAGAGTTTAGGGATAAATTAACAATAAATATGCACACAAAAAAATTAAGCCAACGTGTAAGAAAGAAGCACACCTACCCATGGCAAAAAAAAAAAAAAAAAAAAAAAAAAAAAAAAAATAGTAATTGCTTCTCAAAGTAGGTATCAGGATCAAGGAGTAATAGGACTGCTATTTTTCAGTGAGGCCTTTCAGACCCATTAATCTTTAAATTTTTACAACAAACTTCTTTTTCCTATTTTTTCTTAACGCCAGAGCGTCTACGGACATATAGAACACACACACACGCGAGTGGAAGCATCCCTCAGCGCGGCCTCGTCACACTGCAATCCTCTCTCCCGCAGTTCTCCACCCTGTCAGGGTTCTGGGCACACGTGAGCATCCACCCCGCGTGTTTTCCCAGCCTCCGGGGCTGTGACTTAAACCCTGGCTGGTCATGTGGGGTAGCAGCCTTTGTGCAGCATTTACTTGCTGCATCCTGTAGCACAACAATTTAAAATCAACTTAGAAGGAAAATCATTGCGAAGGGTTTTTTGCAAAGTCTTTTTAATGTCTGACTTAAAAAAGTCAGCTAGATTCTCACAATTGTTACTGTTTTCTGTCTGTTGTGATAGGCTTTTTTTTTTTTTTTCTTCTTTTTTTTCTATACTGCAAGAGAGTACCTGGACTCACTAGAGAGACACAGAGACGGAGAGGGAGAAAGCACCACCACCCCCATGTGGTGTGCTCACACTGCAATCCCTTCTCTCCCGTTCATCTATCCTGTCAGGATCTGGGATGTACATGTGGGCCTGGTGTGTTTTCCAAGCCACCACGGCTTGGATTCAAACCACACGGTCAGTCATGTGTGATCTAGCTTCCTTAACCTCTAGGCCATAGGGCTGCCCACTTCCATATTTTTTCCCCCAATCCCTTTTCCTCCATTTCTCTCTTTTTTTTTTTTGGAGAGGATTTCACTATAGGGTGCGTGTGCTCGCCAGATAGAGAGAGACAGAGAGACAGAAAGCGAGAAATCATCCCCCAGAAGGGATGGTCACGCCGCAATCCCTTCTCCTCCATTCTCCTCTCAGGATCTTGAGCACGCATGCACATGTGCCCGGCGTGAGTTTTAAGCCACCGGGTCCGGGACACAAACTGTGGTCGACTACATGGGAGTCCAGCGACATAACCATTACGCTAACTGCTGGTCCCCAGAATTCTTACTTTCACTAAAATGGTTGGTTGAATAAAATTTTATCATTTGCAACAAATTCTGTAATTGTTTTCCTTGAAGTGCCGGGCTCCATTCGTGATGAGAAAATGTCTGCTAAGTATCCAAGTCTGAATAAGCAGTCTACACGTAAATCACCCTCCTGTGCCATGAAAAAGTAGATTATTCCCCCTACATCTCTAACAATCACACTTTCCCTTAAGCTCCTCTACATATTATAGAATACTTTACATGTACTTCACGTTTTGTCACAGAATATAGATGTGCACTCAAGATTTGGGATTAAATAAAATTTGTAAGTTTTATTGCTTCATTGAAGACATTAAACATTTTTTTTTTTTGAAGTTTATTTCTTCCATGAGAGAGTGAGTAAGATAGAGAGTACCCCTTCCCCCAATAAGGTCTTTCTGGCCTGGTCACATTGCAATCCCCTATACTCCAATTCTCCATCCTGTCGGGATCCCGGGCACACATGTGCATGCCTTGTTTATGAGTCACTGGGTCTGGGGCTTGAACCCTGATTAACTGCTGTGCTATGAAGCCAAGTGCTCCAACCAGGGTCTTGACTCCAAGATCCACCTCCATCCTTGAGTCGGCCTCAGATGCTGGGTAACTGCATGCCTCGTATACTCAGGGAGGTAGGTCTCCAGACTTGAACCAGGACCCTTACCATAGGGGATCGCCCTGAAGAATGCTATGACTGTGCTACTGCTTGGCCACAATAACATTTTACAATGAAACTAGCCCTTCCTCGTCCTGGAAACGGGAGCAAAGGTACAGTCAATAATTAGTATAGTTTGTCGCCACCGCCTTAATCCCCACAGAGGTGCCAGCCACTTGCTTTTGCAACATCAGTGAAACATACTATCTTACTATTATGAAAATGGCTTTGACTTAGGGGCCCTCTAAAAGATCCAAGTCTGAATAAACACTGGAAGAGAAAAAAAAGTAAGATATTTACCTGTTTTTTCTGTTCGGTGGGGGACAAGCGTTTGGCACCAACTTTCTGTGCTTCTTCAAAAAGGCTATCCACAAAATAGTCACAATTCATTTGTCGATTATCACTAAGAGGCTGATTGTCAGAACCTGCTTCACAAACCCATTCTTTTATGCTTTCAAGATTATCCTCTTGCAAAACCCCAAAAAAAAAAAAAAAAAAAAAAGAAAAGAAAAAGAAAGAGTATTGACCACTACTGTCTAAAAATACACTAGAATAAATTATTCTAGTTAAGGAATGTCACCTCCATATCTACAGTTCAGACTCTCCTCTTTTTTTTTTTTTTTGAGAGGTTTTGCTATAGGGCACGTGTGTTTGCCAGAGACACAGAGAGAGACAGAGAAACAGAAAGTGAGAAATCACCCCCCAGGGAGGATGGCCAAGCCACAATCCATTCTCCTCATGGGATCTTGGACATGGACACACACACACCAGGCTTGAGTTTAAGCCATCGGGCCCGGGACTCGACCCACGGTCGACTACATGGGAGTCCAGCGACATAGCCTTTAGGCCGTTCAGACCCTCTCCTGAGTTAATATAAGAGACATATGACCTTGGGGAAGCCATTAACTCCTGTTTAGTCCAGAGCTGAATTTTCCCAGCCTCACCTCTATTGCCATTTGGGGTGGGACAATGCTTGTTGCATAGACTGTCCTGTACATGGTAGGATGTTTAGCAGGATCCTTGGCCCATCAGATGCTAATAGCAGTGTTTTCTTTTTGTTATTTTAAAAAATTATTTTATTTAACTAACTTTATTTATTTATTTATTTTAATTTGACCAGAGAGGGACAGAGACAGAAAGCAAGAAAGCAAGCCGCCAGGTCCAGGACTTGAACCACAGTTGGCATGTGGGAGCCTAGCACCCTTAATCACCACGCCACCTGCTGGCCTCCCCTGAACTTTTTAATCCTACAATGTATAGTTTTATTCCTCTTGCCCTCTACATTTAAAAATTTTTAAATTTATTTATTTATTTACATTTTCTCACAAACATTTACTTTACATTTCGGATCTTGGGCACACACGCACATGTGCCCGCCGTGAGTTTAAGCCACTGGTCCAGGACTTGAACCGTGGTCGACTACATGGGAGTCCAGCGACATAGACATTGTGCCATCTGCTGGCCCCTCACCCTCCAGTGTTTTAACAACCAAAAATGTCTGCAAATATTGCCAAATGTGTCTAGGGGCAAAATCTTACAAGGTTAAGCATCATAGACAATGTAATATATATTATTTTTAAAGGGCCCAAATGGTTTTAAATAAGATTACTATAGAATTTTTGGTAACAGAAAATTCACTTGAAACTAATAGTTATAAGGCACCAGGAAGAATCACATATTTTTGCCAGGCCCATCCTATAGCTACATGGCTAATGGAAGCCAGATTCTAGGTACCCAAAGACAGTTCAAATTCTGGTCAGAGGCTTGAGAAACACTGGGCAAATGTGTGGGCATGCCCCCAAATCTTGACAGGATGGAGAAATGGAGAAGGGATTGCAGTGTAGCAAAGCCCCACTGGGGAGTGCTTTCTTCCCCCCCCTCTCAAGTGCATGTACCCTTCAACAATCACAAAAAAAGTTCAGGTATTGATACATACTATAACTTGGATGAACTTTGAGAAAATTAGGCAGTTGGCTATCACCCTGGGGGGGGTTATTTCTTATTTTCCCTCTCTCTCTGGAGAGAACAGAGAGAAATTTAACTTCTTAATTAATAACTCAAAAGAACTAGTAGTTTCATTAAAATATGTTCAATGCAGCAATGATAAGAAAGATATAGTACTAGTTAATATTTGCTGGGATAGCCATACATAATTAGAACTTACTTTTCTATCTCCATCAGTGAAGTACAATCAAAGTAAATATATTCACAAGGGCATTAACAAAGAAGTTCATAGAATGAATTAACTTACCATTCTTCTTTTATGCTTTCAAGATTATCTACTTCTTTCATTGTCTTTTGTCTTTCTGTAAAAGTAATAAACAAAAACTAATGTTTTCAATTTAATATTTTTTCATAACCACTTATTTAATTTGTTCATTCATTTATTTTAATTTGACCAGAGAGAGAGACAGAGAGAGAGAGGGAAAGTGAAAAAGCAAGCTACCAGGGCCGGGACTCAAACCATTGTCGGCCATGTGGGAGTGTCCAGCACCTTAACCACCATACCACCTGCTGGTCCCTCAATTTAGTATTTTAAACAAATTAATTATTATTATTTTTCTTGGGGGGAGTAGTTTTTGCTATAGGGCGTGTATGCTCATCAGAAAGACAGAGACAGACAGAGAGACAGAAAGTGAGAAATCACTCCCGGGGGGATGGCCATGACGCAATCCCTTCTTTTCCATTTTCCTCTTGGGATCTTGGGCACGCACGTACATCTGCCTTGTGCTGGCGCAAATGATAGGTTTTAAATCTGTACATCTTATATATCAATTATACCTAAATAAAGTTGTTTAAAAATATTATAATAGAGGGGCCAGGAGGTGGCATAGTGGTTAGGGCACTGGACTCCCACAGGGCCAGCTGCGGTTCGAGTCCAGGACCTGGTGGCTTGAGAATCACACTGGGCACATTGAGTACTCAAAATCTCAGGAGGAAAATGGAGAAGTAGGGATTGCGATATGGCCATCCCCCCGGGAGTGATTTCTCACTTTCCCTCTCACTCTCTCTCTCTGTCTCCAGTGAGTACATGCACCCTATGGCAAAAAAAAAAAAAATTAAATTAAATTAAAATTAAAATATTAGAAAAAGAAAGTCATATTGTATTTTTCTAGGTAAAAGTGATCATGACTTCCTAGACGACCCAATGTATACTTACGTAGCATCTATCACAAATCACATTCTAGGTGCATGGGATATAAACTGACAAACCACACATCTCAGTCACTGAGGGCATTGCGTTCTGGTTGAGTAGTTTGCTTTTCACTTGACAGTTCTCCAGCACTAATTTCAACTAATTCAAAATAATCTCCTACAGTTAATAATATGTTGTGTACTTCAGAATAACTGAAAGAATAGGCTTTCTATGTTTTCATCACAAGAAATGAACAGTGTGTGAGGCGGTGACTATTAGCCTTATATCATCACTGCCCAATGGCTACACGGAATAAACATCACATTACGGCCCAGCCAGTTACCACAATGGTGAAGGTGGCTGGATACCGCATGAACGACCTTGTGGTTTGAGTTCCAGATCTGGAGGCTTATAAATCATGCCAGACACATGTGTGTGCATGCTCAAAATACTGAGAGGATGGGGTCAGCAGGTGGCATGGCAGCTACAGCTCTGGACTATCACACAACGAGGTATGGTATGAATCCTGGACCTGAAGGCTTGCTTTCTTACTTTCTCTCTCTTGGTCTCTCTTTGGTGAGCTCATGTGCACTTTAGCAAATTAAAATAAAATAAATAAATAAAGATAAATAAATAATTTAAAAATAAATATTTTAAAAAGTATAAATTGCTGGGCCAGCAGGTGGCATGGTGGTTAAGGGTGCTGGACTCCCACATGGCTGACCGCGGTTCAAGTCCTAGACCTGGCAGCTTGCTTTCTCACTTTCCTTCTCTCTGTCTGTCTCGCTCTGGTCAACTTCAAAAAAATAAAATAAAATGATGACAATGAGTAAAATTAAATAAAATAATTCTTAAAAAAACAAATTGTTTTCACTTGTTTTATGACAGCAAAATAAAATTAAGATAGAAGATATCTTGACTTCAAATTGATTTGTACTGGAATCACTTTTGAGCTAGGTGACATTGTATATGTTATTTAATTTCTGAGTCCTGGTTCAGCCTATAGTATGAGATCATTATCTTCCTTACGAGGTTGTTTTGAGGACTAAAGGAGATACTAAGAATATAACAGTGTTAAGTCCTTCTGTTTTTCCATCCTGTCATCATAATCTCTGCTACAGGGATCAGTAAGAAACAACTTCAGAATTTTTAAAAACATTTTCTAATTTTATTGTATACTTTCTTATTTACATTTAATAGTTATACATTTTTGTGGGATACAATATGGATATTTTTAAAAGAATTATTTCAATTAACTTTATTATTATTTTCTATTTAGATAAGAGAGAGACAGAGAAAGAGAAAGGGAAAGTGAGAAAACAAGCCAACAGGTCTAGGCCTCGAACCATGGTCAGCTATGTGGGAGTCCAACGCCTTTAACCACCACGCCACTTGCTGGCCCCACAATATAGATTTTAAAAGCATGTTTGCATGCAGTGTGCAATAATCAAATCAAAGATAATACTGTGTTCATAACTTTCAACAAAGAACACAACATTATGATACGGACCACTAATTTTTTAAAAAATATTTTATCAGTGCCTGTGCTCGCCAGAGAGAGAGAGACAGTGAGAGGGAAAGTAATAAATCACCACCACCACCCCCCAGCCCTTGTGGGGATGGTCACGCTGCAATCCCTTCTCCTCCATTCTCCTCCTGAGATTTTGGGCACACACATGCATCACCCAGCCCGAGTTAAAGCCGCTAGATCTGGGACTCGAACAGCAGTGAACCATGTGGGAGTCCAGCACCTTAACCACTATGCCACCTGCTGGCCCTATGTGGACCATTAATTTTCCAAGATTGGCGATGTCCCCTTTTACACTCGGTTGTAGTGTGTCATCCCGCAACCCATCTGCCTGGCCTACCTGCATTCCTAAGTCTGTTAAATGCCTTTCTCCTGGTATTCTCTTATACCCTACCCCTCACACCCAAGCTCCTGTGCGGTCTCTGGTATCTATAGTTGTGTGCTCTTTATTTTTTGCTTTTACACTGCAATCCCTTCTCCATTTCTCCCTCCTTTCAGGATTCTGGATGGACACATATATATGCCTGGCCTGTTTTCAAGCCACCAGGTCTGGGACTCAAAATGCGTAGTCAGCTATGTAGGATTCATCTCCCTTAACCAGCAGGCTATGGGCTGGGCCCTAAAATTTTACTACTGATTCAAAGTTAAAAAGAAAGAAAGAAAGAAAGAAAGAAAGAAAGAAAGAAAGAAAGAAAGAAAGGAAGGAAGGAAGGAAGGAAGGAAAAGGGAAAAAAAAGTTACCTACTTATTGCACCTCCCAGCATTGTGTTCAAGGCCCTGGTTTAGAACTAATGACAGAAAGTGTCAATATGACATGGTCTGAGGTACCAGAGAGTTTATAGACTAACAAGGACAAACAACTACTGAATTACTAATCTCAGACATGACCTAGGATTATTAAATTTGGGTCAGATGGTGACAAGCAGTGCGAGGCAGGCAACATGGGAAAGTTCTGACTTTGTCTCCGAGTATGTTAGGCACGCATGTGCCTATGGTCCTGGCTGGCTGAAGCCGGGGGTGGATCACTGTCAAGACCCTGTCGAGGGTGCTGTAGCTCTCTCTCTCTGTCTCTCTCACTCATGGAATAAATAGACTTTAAAAAAGAATTATGAAGCAAAAAGTCATTCTAACACGGAGACATAAAGTCACCATTGTTAGTGACATGCACATGAGCCATGTACATTTGAGTGAACTTCTACAGGTGTATTACAGTCACCTGACATGAATGAACCTGCTGTTTACTTTACCTCAGAGAATTAAAGAAGCCATCTGACAGATATCCAAGTGATCGGCATGAAGCTGGGCATCAGAACAGATGAACAGAATCTTCCGTTGTTCTCCAGTACCCTTCCAACTGCCACCACCATCTTCTATTGTATTGTGTGTCACAGTTTACCAAACACCTTCCCAAATATGATTTCACTGACTCCCATCACCTGCAGTGATAGAGTCAGCCAGGAGACGGTAGTCTGAACTTTATGGAACAAACCCACTAAAGGGAAGAGCCAATCAAAGTGGACTCAGAGCAGTAAGGATGTAGTCTTCTTAATGTATTCCTTAGAAATTAAACTTTAACAATTACGTATCATCAATGTTACCTACTTTTATAAACATATATTCCAAGCCAACATGTTTTTTTCTTTTTTAGGCTACAGATTTGTATCAAGATATACAACTGGGCATGGTATCTTTATTTTTTTTAATTTTTATCGCCAGAGGATATATGTGCTCACCAGAGAGGAAGAGAGAGTGCACTTTGCAGTGGGCATGGTCAATGCTACAATCCTTGTTCTTCCTTTTCTTGTTCCTGTAAGGAGTTGGCGCATGCACACACATGTGCCTGGCATGTTTTTCAAGCCACTGGGGATAGGATTCAAACTACGATCAGTTCTCTTAACCATTAAACTATAGGGTTGGCCCCATGTGGTCTTTATATAGAAGCTGAAGTTTCTCTTTAAGAATAAGGCCAGGGACCAGCAGTTAGCGTAATGGCTATGTTGCTGAACTCCCATGTAGTCAAATGCGGGTCAAGTCCTGGACCCAATGGCTTAAACTCACACTGGGTGCGTGTGCGTGCGTGCCTAAGATCTCGAGAGGAGAATGGAGGAGAAGGGATTGCTGTGTGGCCATCCCGCCTAGGGGGTGATTTCTTGCTTTCTGTCTCTCTGTCTTTCTCTGTCTCTCTGGCAAGCGCATGCACCCTATAGCAAAAACTTCTCCAAAAAAAAAAAAATAAAAAAATAAGGCCATTCATGGTATTAAACATGAGCAATAAAAACAATGTATTACATTTCCATGTGGGATTCCTCTTACTTAGATTTTCTTTTTTGGGAAAGAAATTTTTGCTATAGGGTGTATGTGCTCAACAGAGAAACAGTGAGAGACAGAGAGATAGAAAGCGAGAAATCACTCCCCAGGAGGGATGCCCATACTCCAATCCCTTCTCCTCTCAGGATCTTGAGCACACATACACATGAGGCCTGTATCAGTTTTAAGCCTCTGGGTCTGGGACTTGAACCATGGTCAACTACATGTGAGTCTGGCAATGTAACCATTACACCATCTGCTGGTCCCGTTAGATTTTCTATGGAGTGTGATTAGGCCTCCAGTTAGGCCATCTAAACTATGATAGTATCAGAACCAATCAGTTAAAAGACAGTTTATTTGTGGGACTAGCAGATGGGGTAATGGTTACATAACTGAACTCTCACGTAGTTGACCGTGGTTCCAGTCCTGGACCTGGTGGTTTAAAACTCATGCTGGACGCATATGCATGCATGTCCAAAAATCTCCAGAGGAGAAGGGACGTGGCGTGGTCATCCCTCCATGGCGATTATTTCTTGCTCTCTGTCTCTCTGTCTCTCTAGTGAGCATACATGCCTTACAGCAAAAAAACTCTCTCTAAAAAATAAATAAATGAGTTTATTTGTACATTTTATTAATTCTACTTATACTAAGTGGTAGAGAATAAAATCTTTTGGAAAATTTAAGCTTATCTTAGCTGTAAACATAACAAAGAAAATACATTTTTGTCTAGAAAACATTGTTATTGGGAGAGTTATATACTCCTAAGGACCAAAGTGGTAGTGATAACAGTCATTTAAATCAGAAAAATCTTAGAGAAAGGGAGAAGTTTAGGCAGATTGGCAAGGTCACTTGAGTCAGCCATTCTTTTGCATCAAGACATTCTCATTGCAGAGCCCCATGCTTGTGGGGGTGGTGACACATACTACAATGCTGCCTCCCTTGAAAAACCCACCTTAAATACAACCTCTTTTAGAACATCTTCCATGACTCCTCCAACACAGATTGACAATTACACAACTCTCATTCCTTCTACCATCATCTCTAGGTGGTCTCCTCAGATCCATTCTTGAACCCACCAAATCTAGTTGCTAAAAGTAGTCAGAGTGAGCTTTTAAAACCCAAATTTGTGGTTTAAACCCTTCCATGACTTCTAGTTGCTCTTAGAATAAGGTATAAATCCTTTGTGTAATATTTCAGAGGAGTTCATGGTACTGTTCTCTCACTACACACACACACACACACACACACACACACAATTTTTTAGAGGCTTTTTAAGTGCTTTTTTTGCTCACTGGAGAGACAGACAGTGAGAGGGAAAGTGAGAAATCACCCCCTCCCCCAGAGGGAATGGCCATGCCACAATCCCTTCTCTTCTTCTCCTCCCAGGATCTTGGGCATGCATGCATACGCCCCTGGTTTGAGTTTCGAGCCACTGGGTCAAGGACTCGAACTGTGGTCAGCCATGTGAGAGTCCAGCGATGTAACTGCTATGCCATTTGCCAGCCCCAAAACACATTTTTTCAAGACAGGGTCTCACTATGCCATGATCCCTCTGCCTCAGGACCCTTAGACCACAGATGAATCAGGTGAATGCCACTGTATCCAGCATTTAGGGTTGGCTGGGAATTGAATCAGGCCGGCCATGGGGCCTCAGCCTCCAAAGTAGCAGCATTTAACTGCTCACACAACTGCTACTGGGCTCTCTTCTCTTTCACTATATTTGAGTGGTTTTAAACTTTCTCTAAAGTTCAAAAAAGAAAGAAAAGGAAACAGAAAAAGCTGGTCTCAAATCCTTAACATTGTTTAAAAGGCCCAGCATTGGGACCAGCAGTTACTGTAATGGTTATGTTGCTGGACTCCCATGTTGTCGATTGCAGTTCGAGTCCCGGACCCAGTGGCCTAAACTCATACCTGGTGCATGTGTGTGCGTGCCCAAGATCCTGAGAGGAGAATGGAGAAGGGATTGCTGCGTGGCCATCTCCCCAGGGGGTGATTTCTTGCTTTCTGTCCCTCTGTCTCTGTCTTTCTGGCAAGCGCATGTGCCCAATAGCAAAAACCTCTCTCTCAAAAAAATAAAAAAAAAAGAGGGATTTTCAGAGGAACCATCTTTCTGGTCCTAATTTACTTTGGAACAGCTTATCTTCTTTTCTTTTTTTTTTTTTTTTTTGAGAGTTTTTTTTTGCTATAGGGCACATGCGTTCGCCAGAAAGACAGACAGACAGAAAGCAAGAAATCACCCTCCAGGAGAATGGCCACACCGCAATCCCTTCCCCTCCATTCTCCTCTCAGGATCTTGGGCACGCACACACATGCGCCCGGTGTGAGTTTAAGCCACCGGGTCCAGGACTTGAACTGTGATCAACTACATGGGAGTCCAGCAACATAGCCATTACGCTAACTGCTGGTTCCCTTTGGAAGAGCTTTTCACATAAATCCTATTTAAAGATAATAACTCAAAAGATTATCTACCTAGGGCCAGCAGGTGGTGCAGAGGTTAAGGTGGCAGTTCAAGTCCTTGACCTAGTTGTTTGAAAAACACACTGGGTGGGGCCGGCAGATGGTGTAGCAGTTATGTACTCCCACGTGGCTGACTGCAGTTCAAGTCCTGAACTGTGGCTTACAACTCATGCAGGGCGTATGTGTGTGGGCGCATGTGTGTGAGTGCCCAAGATCCTGGGAGAATGGAGGAGAAAGAATTGCAGTGTGGCCATCCCCCTTGGAGGATGATTTCTCACTTTCCCTCTCACTATCTCTGTCTCTTTCCCCAGCAAGCACATGTGCCCTAAGGCAAAAAAACTCTAAAAAATTAGTTAAAAATTACTTTAAGAAAACTTATATATGATTTCCCCTGATGAGTCAACTCCCTGTGCTACATTCTCTCTCATATACCAGACATGTATAAAGTGTCTTTTAAGCTTCTATCTTGGTTTATTGGCATTTCTTTGTGTGATTACACATTTAAATGTTTTGTCCAATGACACAGTATAGTCTTAAAAGCAGAGTGTGTAACTGTCACCATCATACCCTTAGCACTCAGAACACAGAAGGCACTAAAACGTCTTGAATAAAATGTGAATTAAAGTGTACACTAAGCAATTAACATTAGAGATCATTGAGGCCAGACAGTGGCACAACAGTAATGCAACTGGACCCACCCAGGAAGGTCAGGTCCTGGGATTCTACCCCAGGGCCTCTTTGCACATCTCAGAGGTGAAGATGCAGGGCAATGTGAAGACCCTGTGTAGGGGAGTGCCAGTCTCTTTCTCACAGAAGAAATACAAGGGGACCAGCAGGGGCAGGGTGGTTAAGGTGCTGGACACTCCCACATGGCTGACCAGAGTTTGAGTCCCAGACCTGGTGGCTTGCTTTCGCACTTCCCCTCTTTCTCTCTCTTTTTCTGTGTCTCTCTCTGGTCAAATTAAAGAAATAAGTGAACAGATACATATTTTTTAAATATATATATATTTAAAAAATAAGAAATACATATTAAAAAATGTAAGTAGTAGTATGTCTTTCAAGTGTGCCCATAAAGTACTTAGCCAAGCACCCAGCTAAGATCAAGTACTAAGTAGCAGCTTCTGTGAATGCCATATTATGCCTTGTGTCATTACTGGGCTTAACCGCACCCTCCTCCCTGCACTTAACTCATTTTTGGATCCCACCAATACCTAGAACTAACGTTATTATTGTAGAAATACGCTCAATATTCATTGAATTTACTTGCCCTTTCAACAAAACGACTTTTGGCATTTTTAGTTAGAAGACACAACATCTACTTTTAAATAACTTCCCACTAAAATCAAATTACAGTCAGTCCTGCATTGTGGTTCCACACTGTCCTTTTCTGCACTAGCAACAACGCACACCGGCAAGTCCTATCTTTCATGATCTCGAATTACGTACAAAGGAACCAACGCTGGCCGCCACACTGACGTCCGCCAGTGCTGACAGTGAGCTAACGATGACTGCAGGGAAAACAGAAAAGAACACATGGAAGAAAGAAGAGAAACGCGCCCACAGCGAACAGCGGATCTCCAAACGCCACCCGCAGTGGGGTCAGCCAGGCAGCGCCCGCCAGCTGACCGCACTTTCTATTTCTGGGGGGTGCTGGGGCCGCGCCGCCACACTGACGTCCGCCAGTGCTGACAGTGAGCTAACGATGACTGCAGGGAAAACAGAAAAGAACACATGGAAGAAAGAAGAGAAACGCGCCCACAGCGAACAGCGGATCTCCAAACGCCACCCGCAGTGGGGTCAGCCAGGCAGCGCCCGCCAGCTGACCGCACTTTCTATTTCTGGGGGGTGCTGGGGCCGCGCCCCCCCGTCAATGGAAACGTCCTGACAGCGCGCACCTCCAAGTTCCCGAGCGCCCTCGGGCCGGGGCCGGGCGACCTCGCCCCGAGCGCCCGCGTAACGAAGCCGCAGTCCGGGGCCCGCTCGGCGGCTCACCGGGCCAGG